CGATGATCTTCAATACAGAATATACACTTGATTGGGATGTTAGTTATTTATTTGAGTTTAGAACGCAGGAAGAAAGAAATGGCTACATACACCATAGATAGGATCATCTATTGAAGACGTTTTAAGGTGACATTTGGAAATAAATCGTTGACGCCATCGAATACCGGTATTAGAATATATACCAGAACCTATACACGAACTCAGATTAGCATCCTTTCCCACGCTCAAAAAGCAATTTACACATACGATCAAGTAATCTATCCTTTTCCACATCATTCCATCCAACCTCATAAGCACATTTAATACATCTCGCACTCAGAGTAGCACTATAATGGCCCTGATCCTTCTGTTAGTACAGACAAACCTAAATATTAGCAAGGGGGCGCGAATAATATCTGACCAATGAAACGATGAACAAAGTAAAAGTAAAGAACAGGAAATTCCACATACCGAAGGTCTCTTAACGACTTTAAACCCAGTTTCCCCTCTAATCATGGCTTTAGCTCCTGGACAAAATCCATCGAATTTATAAAACGAACTATCATGCCTCATAGGACAATCTATACTTCTCATTGAAGGAGTGGCTCTATGCATTGCTAATTGACTTTGACTTCGATTTTCTGGAATGGGATTCGAAGGTTGTATTGGTACTGGTTCGGGATCTTGAGTTGGTACAACTTCTAAACCACTTTCGATAACAGGAACAACTTCTAATCCATCTTCAACTCCATTACCAAAACCAGGCAGTTGCAACGTGGTAGCTAAGGATGTAGTAGAGGTTGGAGTTGTGGTAGCAGGTGCTAGTCTACCCCATGAAGCTGGATCATGGATTTCAGACATTGGTGGACTGACTGGACTTTTCAACCATAATGAAGTTCCTGACTCCGAAGGTTGATATTCGCTAATACCGGGACTGACTGGCGTCGCTGATATTGGCGTCGGAGGTTTTAGCGAGGCAGTAGGGAAATATTCATTGTCCGGTTTCGTCGTACTCGAAGATGCAGGTGTAGCATCTCGATCTCGTAATGATCCATTTCTCGAACTTCCTCCCTGAGAAGTCTGACCTTGACTCCTTTTCCGTCCTATCAAATCATCATATCCACTTCCTCTAGAACTATGCCTCTCTATCGGACTACTAGCTGACGAATATGAGGACCAAGGAGATGTAAGCATCGATCCATCACTAAAAGTTTCGCTTGCCCTATTCTCTTCTATCGAGGAGACTGATTTCCGTATTTCGTTATGAAAAGACATACGAGACTGTTTTCTCCGTTCTAGGAATTCCTCATTCGCATTAAGTCGTTGATATACCAGTTCTTTAGCTATTAGTATTTGCTTTGAAGGTGGTGTTTCATATCCATATTTTGGAGGAGGCGTAGCTTGTATCGATTCTTGATAACTTGGTTCTGGAGATGGACCACGAGGAGGAGTCCTTGGTCCTACATCGAAATATGGTCCGCTCAGACTCCATGGATCTTCCTTTCTGGGAGATTTCCTTGAAGGATCTGACAACGAAACTTTATGATCAATAACTTGTCTATCAATCTGGGAGGGCAGTGATGAATACGGTGGAGCGGTGTGATTTATAGAACCTGTTACCGGTGGTCTTCGAGGAGATTGTTCCATAATCGGTACATGTGCAGGACTCAATGGGGGAGATCTATCCTCCATCCGAAAGTGATGACGATCCGTCTGATCTATCCGATCCCGCAGATTGTTGAAAATAAAAGTACACTCCGTCCGACATCTTTTCGATTGTTGTTTAACATTTGTAAAAGCTGATGCTTGAAAAGATTCGAGGTTTTCATCGAAATCCTGACATTCATCAATTTGATCCCTCAGATCAATCTTAACCTCTTTCAATCGATTTTGAATAGATTCTACCACATCATCAGTCAATAACTCCCATATATCCCCATATTCCTTAACATCACTTACCATCCTCCATCAACGCCTTAGCAAAATCTTCCCCATATGACCCTACAGCATCTCTGTAAGCATCCGCAATAGCCTGACTAGTCTTTTCCAAATTCTTCTGTAAATTTTGTGCCAACTCCGATATATAAATTAAATTACTCGGCCCTTCGCTCGCAGATCTCGCAACCCTCTTCGTTAACTTTATCCCCGCATCTAGTGCCTTTATGATACCCTTTATGGGAGCCGCAAAATCGTCCGACATGTGGGCGGGAGCTTACGAGCGTAGCTCGCGAGTAATGAATATAGCTTCGAATAGTTCGTATATAAATGTATATTCCAGACGCACCACTTCACCAAGGACGGGATGACCTAATTCGCAAACCGTCTCCTAGCCCGACCGTCTCGCGCAAAGGCCACTCCACTTCCAATTGTACTAATCTTTATCGACAAATCTTGCGCCAGTAGTGTTCGGGGTCGTGTTTACGTTCGCTTTCAATCGATCGATCGAAGGAGATGTGTATAATATCGAATCCGTTTCCGTAATATCTAGCCCAATCCCTCCTCCAGATAACCAAATCTCAATCCGCGGTACTGTAGGGAATATAAAGAATGTAATGGTCAAATGTCTATACTATTTAAAACAATAAATTGAGCGATCGCGCAAGTAATCGTGTATGCTGGCACGGTAGCACTTCGAATGAATGATGGTGAGGTCTGTGTCTGCAGGGGAAATGAAGAGCGCGAAAGGATGACTGCAGGTAGTGGTGTTGTGTTGCGCTGAGGCTCTTTGCATTACAATATAACATGTATGTAAGTGTAAGTAACCTTTTACTCGGTAGGTATTACTCGTCCACGGGTCGTCCAGTCTCTTTGGGGAGTATAGATGTATGCAGTATGACCATACCCGGAAGAGTAACCGTCCAATATCGAATCCACACAATTTACTGGCAGAAGGATGATCGAGAGTGCGATTCTAGAAGTTTGTATGGCTGTACAGATGTAATAAAAGGCACGATGCCCGAAAGTCCGTCTCCGTTGCCTGCTACCCTCGTCTTGCCCTGCTAGCTGCTGACACACACGATACGTAGATAGATAGCCTTGAGAACGACACTTTACCAGAAACCTACCAGAAACAGAAACCTACCAGAAACTTTGCTTTTTCCATCGACCTTTCTTTCTTTCCCAGATTTCCATCGGATGCGAGCTCATGTCCTATAGAAATAAAGCTTAGGGACGAACTAGAGGTCCCCACGTACCACTTCTTGTCAGCCCTGATCCACGCTGTGCTGCAAAGTGAGCACAGCCCCTGGACCGATTAAGCCCTGTGCTCTTCTATCTGCTATACAAGTACTGGGTAGTAACTACGCAGGAGAACAGGCTCTTTGAACTCTTCTATCCCTTTCACAAACGTAGATGATACCTTTGAACAGTTTCCCAACAAAACATGTGTAATTAAATGAAGTTTCAAAACTATTGGAAAGAAATTGTCACCAAAAGAAAATGTACAAAAAAAAGAAGAATCTTTTGACACGATACGATACAAATTAGAGTAAAAAGGTACTTTAGCTCTAGCGGCTAGTCTTTCCATAATTTGATAGAACAGGAGGCCCACTATCGGCTCAGCCCGATCGTTCGTCCTATGTATCAAGGTATCTGTGTCTTCGAACGAACTTGTCGATGGAAAATCATTATCCCGCAAGGTCGGTGACCATTTTATTTGTGGTGGTATGGAATGAAAAGTCACGTGGCTTGCCCAAATGACTATGGAGGTCTGTTATACCGCCTTCATTAGCTAGGATCGATTTGTGTGGGCAGAATTCTATTAATGCCAAAATAAAAGCGGTGTAGCATACTTATCTCATCCTCCCTTGTATGGTGGTGTGGTGGTGACCCTTTGGTGATTACATAATTTAGGTCTTGATTTCGAGGCATAAACATTCTAAGAATTACTAAAGAGTCTACAATAATAACTCTCTCTTTTTTTAATAAAAAAATAGTCATTAGATGATTTTAAAAACATTATTATATGTTATCTTTTAAAATATAAAGTATTTATAAATAATTCATGGTTGAAAAAAATAGCAAATTAAAGTCTTAATATTTATTAGAAATATAAAAAAACGACTTAAGATTATATAGAGATATAAAGAATAAACTATTTATTATTATTAAAATAATAAATGATCAGTAATTATTATTAAGAAATATAACAAAATGATGAGAATTCTCAAATTCTAAATGTTTTAATTAGTTAGTAGATTCCTGTTTAAGCGAGGTGTTCTATATTGATAGTCTAGGAGATAGTATACTTTAGTATTAAATCAAGTGAATTCTAATATCTTGAATAGCTTTTACTTTATTAGAAAGACTATTACGTGATAGTACTAGTCCTGGCCTATGTCATATTCTTCTATTCTGTTCTACTATATATATAAGAGTAAGATAGAACTTCTAGTTCTATCTCCTAGACTTTTAGACTTTTAGCTTAGTAGTGAAACTTCTAAATACTCTCAGAAGTAACTCCGTCACAATAGATAGAACCACCCTTGGTTATAAATGGAACTGTAGGGAGGGTTTACTTGTAGCTTACAAATCATTAGTCTAAGGGCTAATATGTATATATAAATCTATCTATCTGTCTCCTTGTTAAGTATAGATATGAAGACTATACCTACTCAAGGAGTAGAGTAGTGTTACATGATGACACCAGCCCTGGCCTATACCCTAGCCTGCTATTCTATTCTACTATATATATAAAAGTAAGATAGAACTTCTAGTTCTATCTCCTAATATTTTGGGCTTTTAGCTTAGCAGTAAAGCTTCTGAATACTCCCAGAAGTGATCCTGTGATAAAGACTTAAGTTCATCTCTTCTTTAATATATCTTTAGTTCTTTTTCTAGTATTTATATAAGTACTTATCATTCTACGAAATAGAGTAAATTTCACAAACGGAGATATATGTATATGTTATATAAAGATGTAAATTACTATTGCTAGTTACTTTTATCTATAAAACGTTTTCTCCTCCAGTTTTCTCGATATGTGACCTCGCTCCATGATTCACATCTTCTCTATGGAGTACTTAGTTAGCCTCGCTAGCATAAGCTCCAGCTTGAAGGCAATACTATTAGAAATATCAGTACGGCTTTTAGATCGAGAGGAAGTATATTATAGAAGAAGGCTAATAGAACGCATAGAGGGCGCTACTTACATAGTTCCACTCATCGCCGCCAATGTGCTTCTGGTTAGACCAGCATACCCAATCGGGAGTGTTGACGAGATTTTGCTGCCAGAAAGTTAGTGATATAGTAGTCATACCGACGGGGTATTTGGAAATGCAATTGACAGGAGTAGGACTAGATGTAGATAAGGGTTAGAGAATAACGTATGACTTACGGGTGTGCAATCGGGGCAAGTATCCCATTGTTTTGTGCCAGTGTTTCGATTCTTGTAAGCAGCACACGCGGCCTTCGTAGCACCGTTGTTCTGTCAAAATTTACTTAGTATGATATCATCCGGGTCTAAAGGCTTTAAAAACTCAAAGAATGCTTACCCGTGGGGTTGACTTGACAAAACCAACTTGCTTGATGTCGGTGCATCATGCAGTATAATGCAAATCGGCAATAGCGCTAGAAATAATATGTTAGATATTAAAGATCTATAGGCTTGAAATGGCAATGTTCTTACCCGCCGAACATGAGCGCTATGGTTAAGAGGACTGGATAATGCATATCGAAAGGATCTGGATGAGAAACTTGGATAATGAATGTGAATAATGAATGTGGATGAAAAACTTGGATAATGAATGTGAGTGAGTGATGTTGATGAAGAGGGTGATTTGAGAAATGTTAGGAAGGGACGAGGTACTTATACCTGCAGCCGAACCTTCTTTGATGTCTGTTTGATAGACGTCCACTTCGTCTCCTCAAAAAGCACTGTTTGACTTAACTGCCAAGAAGTAATACATTAACTTCCTAATTCGAGATGAATATCTCCGTGAGGCTATGGCAGTCTTGTAGAATTGGACTTCGTGTGTAAGAAACTTTGATATAGTGCTTTGCGGCACTTGTATTTCGTATAGGCTAGAATCATTATCAATATTATATCTACGTGGCTTTGAGATATTTCTGTGAAAATCGAGATGTTAACGAATTAATCTACATTATAACAAGCTCAATATATATTAGAGATTACTCTTAGAATTCAAGTTTAGTAATCTAAAGAAAGCATATTAAAGAGCTATCTATATAATTAGCTTATAATTAGTATTATATTATTCTGATTAGATATAACTATTATATATATATATCATTTCTTTAGATAGATTTCATTTTAAACTTACTTTAAATGAATGATTTAAAATTTAATTAATTTTTAATCCCTAATAAATTCTTAATATACAAGATATATTGTTATTACTTTTATATATCAGATCTAATATATTAAAAGAAATAAGTATATCAACTTTTCTTATATAATAGAAAAGAGGCTAAATACGTATTGAAGAGAATGAAAAGCTTGATTGTATTCCTATGAAAGGTTGAAGCTATTTAAGGTGCTAGAAAGCTAGTAAAACCATACTAGAAGGGGCTGTAGTATTCACTTTGTTATCTATAATAGCTAATAATAGATGTTTTTTTTAGATATCATTAATTAATATATCTAAGGAAAATCGATATCTCCTTTACTTTTAATTTAATTTCGTATATTCTATTACTTGTCGACTATTAGAAGAATTCTGTCAACCACTATAGGTGATTGGTAGCATCAGCTCCGATATACAGTAACTCCGATATAATCGATTTTTTCAAAAATTAATATCAATTTAACTAAATATTATATAATTATGAATTTTGTACAAAATTATAATCTTTAATTGCTTTTTTAATATTTATTAAAATTTGTTATTTTAAATATTATTATTCAATTATTTATTAAATTTAATATTCTAAATAATTCGATTAATTTTATTAGTTGAGAAAAGTTATATATATACTTGTAAAATCATTCTAACATTAACGTGGTTTAACAGTAGGTCGGCCATATCAGTGGGTCGGCCATTTTTACCTCGAATTGTTATTCTATATTCAATACGCGTTTTCTTCATAATTAATCATGGAAATTCATTCCAAAGAAGTATGTATAATTTTAGCTATTCAAGCTATTGAATTAAACAAAAAATTAACAATTCAAAAGACAGCTCAGCTCTATTGTATACCTCAATCTATATTGGATAATAGAATTCGAGGTAAACCTAATATGGCTGAAAGCCAACCAAAAAGTTATAATTTGATTGAATTGAAAGAGGAGGTACTTATTCAATATATACTTAATATAAATAAAAAAGGATTTTCATTTAAACTTAGAATAATAGAAGATATAGTGAATCATATTCTCGAATCGAGGAGTACAAAGCATATTGGGAACCTCTGGGCATATCGATTTATAAAGCATTGAATCGAATTAAAGATACGTTTTAATTGTGTTTATGATTTTCAAAAAGCTCTTTGCAAAGATCCTAAGCTTATTGAAAAGTGGTTCCAGTTGGTTTCGAATATGTAAGCAAAATACGGTATTCTCGATTGCGATTTCTACAACTTCAACGAAACAGGCTTTATGATGGATATAATATACCCCGGAATAGTAGTAACTAGTACTGAACAAAGTGGCAGAAGCAAGGCAATACAACCAGGCAATAGAGAATAGGCTATAGCGATTATATGTGGTAATAGGGAGGGCGAAACTATACCTTCATTTCTAGTAGTTTAAGGACAGGTTTATCTTTCCAATTAGTATACCGAAATCGATTTCCCTGTAGATTGGGCTATTAAATCTATATCTAATGAATGGATAAACAATGAGATAGGTTTAGAATAACTGAAGCATTTCGATAAGTATATTAAGAATCAAAGAAAGGGCAAATATTGAATGTTGGTATTAAATAAGTATGAAAATCACAAATCAAAAGCTTTTCAAGTATATTGCAAAGAGAATGATATTATATGTTTGGGTTTATTATTATATTCAAGTCATTTAACTTAATCACTTGATATAGGTTGTTTTAGCAATCTAAAATATTTATATAATAATCAAATTGATGGATTTATCAAGGTATATATCAATTATATTTCGAAAATTAAATTCTTTATAGTTTTCAAAGCTGTATATCAAGAATCAATCACAATTCAGAATATGAAATCAGGGTTTTGAGGAGCAGGTTTAATACCTTTTGATTCTGAAGTTGTGCTTTCGAAATTGGATATTCGAATTCATATATTTATTCCCCTTTTTTTCGATTTAGATTAATAGATTTTTCAAACTTCTTGTAATCTAACAGAAGCTTTTTCTCAATCAATATTAGTTAAATTTCGAATAACTTGTTATTAAGTAAGCTTCCCTACATTTATATTTGAGATTATATTAGTGTCACGGCGCCAAGTACTCTACCACTAAGCCACGTAACCCCAAAAGGGTATAAGTAGTTTGATCAACATCAAACCTACTAAGTAGAGTTATAACCAATCCGTGATACTACTTCCTCCTTCAACCCCGGAATGGGCATAGCGGGATCTCGTCCCCTATCCCGGAATAGGATTGCCAAGGATTCTAGTAGTAGAAATTGATTACGTACCTAAAAGTGGGCGGGACCGCTTTTCCCTGACTAATCGGATTCCATCACGAAAAGCCTTCGGGTAGGATCAAACTAACTGTCACGGCGCCAAGTACTCTACCACTAAGCCACGTAACCCCAAAAGGGTATAAGTAGTTTGATCAACATCAAACCTACTAAGTAGAGTTATAACCAATCCGTGATAATTAGCTCTAGCTAAAGGTATAGAGAAATTAGCTTATAAGAATACACTTTTGAATATTGAGATTCGTATACTTCGGAAGGCAAATAAGATATTAAGTAAATATTGATATACAAAAAAAACTCAAATACATCAAGGAGGAATACTTATTAAACAAAAAGCTTTTGATATATTATTTCAGCAAAAGATTGATATTTAGATTCAATATAATGAGTATTAAAAAGGAAGGAATTCTAATAGGGAAATATCTTTTAATTGATATTATAATAAATATAGAAAGATAGAATATAATATAAGAATTTATTAGAATAATATAATAGATTCTAGATTATTAGAATCTTTATAGTTTTAATTGATTGATTTAATTGTTATTGAATAATATAACTTTGGAATAACAATTCGAGGTAAAAATGGCCGATCCACTGATATGGCCGACCCACTGTTAAACCACGTTATATAAACTTCAAATCTAAAATTAATAATACAATCCTAACATTCAATTTTTAAAAATTTCATAATCAGAAATAAAATAATAAAAAGAAAATCTGATAATTATATTAAAGTAAATTTAATAATTATTTTCCTATATTCAAATATAGAATTCATTATATAGTTGAATTAATATTGATTTTTGAAAAAATCGATCATATCGGAGTTGCTGTATGTCAGAGTTGATACTATCAATCACCTAGGGTGATTAGCCATGAGGATGATTAGCCGACAAGTATTACTTCAAATATTTTGGTTTCAGTTGAGTATACATTCTTTCTAATTTAAGATTATTAGAGATTTCATTAAACATATCAAAATCCGATCCGAAACGAAACGAGCTCTAAGTTAGTAAACCAGTAGCTCTGCGTCAAAGAACGTCCACCCCACGAACTCCGCCCCTTGTTAGTTCCTTTGTATCTTCAGAACGATCTCTCTCTCACCGGGGGGTATACAACTCGTTACCCCTAGAACATCTAGCGAGGATAGTACATATGAATAGATAAAAACCTTATTTTAACCTTTTCTTTATCAGGTCAATGTTGGGAAGAGATTACTTACCCACAAACCACTACTACCCTTCCTTTTCGGCCTCATGTAAGAGCCTCGTATTAAGAACAAAACCAGGCGCCAAATAGTTGCGCATAGAAGCTGTAAATGCTTCGCCCGCAAAACTGATTGGGAATTATCCATACCTGGAGTACTCACCTAGAAGAAAAAGCAATAGATCGGCGCGGTTAACGACCCGAGAAGCATATCTCCTTTTCATTCAATGTCGTTTGTACTATCAAATATCATATTTTAGCCGTACAAATAAAAAAGGGCTAATTCAGGCATTTCGTCTGGATACTAATATCACAATCATCACACACAATGCCATAGCGACAGGTGTAACACAGACACTTGGCACAATTATTCCTCTGCGATACGAGAAGAACGGCCTTAATCACCGAAATCGTGTTCATGATATCTTCCTTGGTTCTCGAATTATTCTTTCGACTTGAGTTTGATAGTTGCTTTCATGCTCTAAGCGTGGTAAATTGCGTAAATGTGGTGTAAGCTACTGAAATTCTGGGTTCCAAAAATATCTTCAACTAGATTGATTTCCTTATTTTTCGAGCTTGTATTTCATATTCAATGTTTTATTCATTGGTAATTCGAGATAGTATTGATCTTTGGTATAGTATAAAACGTATATCGATATATAAGAGCAAAAGAAACTCTACCATATAGCAAGGGGGAGTATGATGTTGTTTGTGTGTTCTAGATTGTAATACTGATCTCTCTGAAGGAAATTTAGATAAATACGTAGACTAAAGTAAAAGTCTAATTGACATTAAAATTTAGCCTCAGTCTTAGAACACTGGGCATGCGATGGTTCACACGACTTATAGTAATACTAATCACTTGACAGGAGAATTATCCCCTAGAGTGCGGCTCTACGTAACCGAAAAAAGCGGCGGAAATTGATCACCATTCAAAAGAACTTCAACAACTAAGATCTCTTTTCGATATAATATTAAATAATAATAACACTTAATAGCAATACAAAACAGACTCAAATTTTCATTTGCTTTTTTCAAATTTCAATATTTAATTTGAAATGAATTTATAATCTATTAAAAAAGATCTTTGAAAGGGTACTCAATTTCCGTTGCTTTTTTCGGTTACGTAGAGTGCGGGCAAATGCCGCCCATTGTAGTCCGTGCAATATACCTTGTATGAAGAAATATGATTGGTTAGATTGGCTTTTGTAATGCTTTTTTAATCACTCTGTTTATAAATAGGAATCTTGATTTCAAATTATAGTTTTCTAAAGAAAATTAAAAAAAGCGAAGATTAGAAAGTAATACATATTATCTTCTTCAAAGTTTCGAAATAGAAATAATATTAAAAAGATTTTATATTAAAGATTGAATGTGAATATGTGATTAAATTCCAAGTATCCTGATGTTCTGTTCCCTTCTGGAAACAGAAGCGGATCGCACCCGCAGAGGAGCGAATAGCCCCTGGCATTGAAGTTAAATTGCTAAATTCGGTCGCGACGATCACGCCGCTCAAATAGTTCCTTATCTTAGCACGTCTAAATACCCTTAGGGAGGTCCAAAACAGACGTTAATTAATATAAATAAAAAAAAATAAAAAAAAATATCCTGATGTTCTGATTGGTCACTAAGATACCTGTTAAGCGAGGGCGCCGAATGTCCGCACTCTAGGGGATAACCTTACTCGAAACGATCCATAACATAAAGTTTCGTCCACCGGACAGTGTAATTCAATCGAATTTTGGTCCACCGGACAATATAATAATTCAATCGAAGTTTTGTCTTCCCATACCAACAAGCCACAGGACACTTCCTGAGAGCGATAGGATCTTTCATCAAACATCTCTGGAAACAAGATCACCATCGATCAACTCCGTCACACAGACAAAGCCAAATCTAGAGCTGAACGTAGTTCTACAAACGATTCCAGAAAGTTGATTTCAAAGGCTATGCGTGTTAATACAGTTAGGTTTATCAGAAGCCTTTCCTTTACTTGGTTTCCTCAAGCACCTATCCGATCCAAGCCTTCGTCACACCAGCCAAGCCCTCCTGCATCCACGGCCTCTCCAACGAGGCATCTGCATCAAATCCGTGTTCTCCACTCTCAAACTTTCCAACCACACTTCCCTTTCCAAACTTGTCGTGTTACAACGCATAATAGCATACATCACTCAGTTGCATTGGCATCACAAACTCTTCGTTCAATCTACCTTGACCACACTTACTCACCTTCTACGAAAGGCAAAACGAGTGATTCTATCCTAGGTGCTTTGGTAGCTCAGCCCAAGGAATACCGCGATTCTTGGAGCTAGCAGTAGCCCATTAGTAAGGAATTCACAATGAGGAGTGTCGAGAAGGACGTGCCGACCTAAGTGGGCTTTTTGAGGAATTGGCTGAGTCTCCAGTGCGTACTGTAGTTGGCATTGGAGAATGAAAGCTAGAGGAGAAGATCGCAAGTTGACCATCTTCCGTCGTAACAAAGGGCTCGAATTCGTAACATTTTGTCTCGTGAGGTAGCTGTCGGATTGACACGCGCTCTGGGGATAGAATTATCGGGGTGTTTATGTCATGGTGGGTTTTCGGATAGTGGGAGAGACACTTGGGCTTACACTCGTGACATCGATCCCATTGCTCTTGAGGCCTAGGGATATCACCGTGACCGACCCCTCATACGAAGTTGGGGCATTGACTCCGAACGGAACTGAAGGGAAGAGTTGTCTCGGAAGAGTCTTGATGGATGGATCGGGTGGGAGCGTGGGGACTGCTGCTTTCAAAGTCTCTGTATCTAGAGAGAATCTTGATGCGACTGGTGGGGGTAGCTCCAAGCGCTATCAATGCCTAGTTAAAACTTATATTGCTGACACTCCCGACCAAAAAGCGACGTCTCTTCGCTCTTCTTGAGGGCTAGACCTCAAATCAGAGATCATTTAGTTATTACAGACTAGATCGCCCCTTGCCACTTATATTGGCGGCTACCAGATCCGTTTACCAAGTATAGACGATGATAATCCAAGTATTTCACCAATGACAGCTCTCATTATAGAATTCCCCTTGCTCTTTATCCTACTATTCTACACTCTCATCAACAGCTGTTTGTATCAAATTCATCAATCCTTCATTAATTAACCACCGTGACACTGGAATGCCCTTACACCCCCAAATATCGAGTCTCAACCCCAAATGTTCATCGCGCACCCTCGCCGACTTCTTTCGCTTGAGCAAGCAGCCGTCGTGAGCATCCAAGCAAAGTACTCATTCGCCTACGTTTCCTGCAGCAATCGAGCAAAGCGAAGACATCCTCCGTGATCGACAATCCTGATAGCGAAAAGACATAGACGAAAATCCAGGGAGACATGAGACGGAAGTGTGCGTTTGTGAGCGAGAATAAGGCCGAGAAGAAAGACTTTGAAATTTGGGTTTGCTGAGAGGGAGATGAGGACGAGGACAGTGGTGAGGATGATGAATATTGAAATGCGCCTTTGATGAGAAAGGAGTAGGGCATTGTGCCTTTTGTTTGAAGATTTGTGTATGTTGCTTTTGGGGCGAACTAGAATGGTGTTTGGAAGTGTTGGGGTTCTGAGGGAGAGATTTTGCTTGCAGTTTGATTGTTAGCTACCTAGGTAGTCAGGGAACTTGTTTGCTTGAGCGTTGTATCAGACGAGTTATGGGATTAAATCTATAAATTATAATGGAGTGCGCTGCTATCGCTTTCTCGATATGTGACTCTTGATGAGAAGTATTATAATAAATAGAATAAGATGTAACCTATAACTATGAAATTTCACTTTCACACTAAAGTAGCAAGAATAGTATAAACTTATTATCCAAACGTATCAATCTAACAGGTACCTACCTACTCGTACCTAGGTACTTATACTTTACTTCCCATTCCTAGCCGTCAAAGATCGACAACCCCCTTATCGCTAAACTATTTCTCCGTCCAAAAAAACCAAGCTCTTACATTTCCTTCCATTGCCATAAATAATCAATCAATCAAGCAGCGAGGCGACCCCAATCAATTAAAGAGTCCTTGAAATATAAGATCTCACATATGCCACATATGCACCTTTAAGTTTTTGCACCCCACCCACTGTACCCGCGATTTACTACCATATCCAATCTACCATACCTATCTACCATACCTATCTACCATACCTATCTACCATACCTATCTACCATACCTATCTACCATACCTATCTACCATACCTATCTACCATACCTCGAGCATACCTACCTATCTAAACATAGCGCTAAGAATGCGAGGGGAGATCGACAACACATCTGCACTCCCATCACCTATCACCTATCACCTCACCTATCACCATTCACCCCCCTTCCCTCCCGGCTTACCTAGGTAAATACCTCTTTAAGCCAGGGATTCTCAATTCCCATCAGGGATTGTATTGTTACCAATCCAATGAGACCACCCAGATCTTGCGAGATCCTCGTAAATCGCTACATACCTAGAAACTCCAGCTACAGTACTGGAATCCTGTAAATTAGAGCTGCGCGGATCCACGGACGAGGGTTTCGTCTACTCAGTACCTACAGATAGATTCTATCTCTCTCTAAAATTCTGTTGATTCAACATTCAAACCAGGGGACTAGTCGACCGCTTATAAGATTCGACTATTAATCGATGTCAAATGAGCAAAGACAGAAATATGAAGAATGAGGGATTCACGAATCTCAAAGAAATTGTTTAAATCTATTGTTGTAATTCTCGTTTCTTCCTTTCTCTCTATCTATTTACATCAAATCCATTGACTGTAATCAATTCTGATTGCTCTCATCTTCATCTCATCTTGTCACATTTGAAAAACGCATTCCATTCCTTTTACTCCCTCCATCACATCGTCTGAATCAGAACTGGATGTGCACCTGCAAATCCCATACTAGTCAAATATGTAAAATAAAATTAAAACTCAACTCCAATGTACAAGACGAGTCAAAAAAAAACAAAAAAAAAAACGTCTAAAAGGTTGCAACGGCAATTGCGATGGCTTGAGTGTCAGAGTGCGAGATTGAAATGCTAATCTCTTTCACACCAGCTTTCTTTGCTGCGGTTGCGGCATCACCGTGAAGCTAGATGTTCGTTAGCGAGAATTAATCGGAAATGATGGGGTTTAAACTTACCGAGACAATTGGTGCACCCTTTTCATTGTTGGTGATTTCAATTTCCTTCAAAGGTGCTCCGGCTCCCTTACTTGCAACACCGAGAGATTTAAAGACTGCCTCCTTTGCACTCCACTTTCCAGCGAAAGATGCTTGTGGGCTTGGTGCTTGCTTGCAGTAAGCAACCTCCTTCTCGGTGAAGTTTCTCTCCAAGAATGTATCATTCTCAATGTTGATGGCAGAAATATCCTCTACATCAACACCAACTTTGTTATTAGCTGTTGCAGCACCCTTTGCAAGTGACTCAACCATTTGTTTTGTGCTCTCTGTCTTTTCCTTGTTGATAACCTTCTTGGCGAAGTTTGGAGCATATGTGAGAGCAGAAGTCTTCTTATCGACTGATACACGAGCTTCTGGGTTGAGGAAGACAGCTCCCTGTTGGTCGTCAGTGTAAGGTGAGTGGTCCTTGGCAACGAACAAGGTATTTGTGATCATTCCGTTGTGGAAGTAACGGTAGGCCTTCTTTTGTCTGGCTTCAACCTTAGTGCAGTATGCCGAGTATGTTTGCTCGTCAAGGGTAGCGAACAGATACTTTGGATGAATTCCAATAGCTTGGGCACCCTTTTGACCGAAACCGAAGGAAGTAACAGAGAAAGCCTTGATACCATCGGTTTGAATGCTGCGACTGGGGTAAACAATGTAGTCGAACTTCTCCATAACTTGATCGACATTGTCGGCATTTCTGTTACCAGGAACTAAACCACTGTTGAGGACCTGCAAACAACCGTTGAACATCCAAGCTCCAGCGGCACCCTTTGGATGACCTGTCAAGTACTTTTGGAAGATACCCATGACAGCGTTACCCTTCTTACGACCAAGATGCTCCATTTGTTGGCAAATGACTGAAGACTCGTTCTTGTCATTTGCAACAGTTGATGTACCGTGGAAAGATGCAACATCGAGGTCATCGATGGTAAGACCCCAAGTAGCAAGGGCGCCACGAAGAGGTGCGATAGTAGGATCTTTCTTCCAGAAGCTGTTACCAAGACTGTTCAGAACCTCACGCTCTTGACGTAAAGCCTCGCGCTCGATATGTTGTGCCCGGTCTTGAGCATATTCGCTTTCGTTGAACTCCCCTCCTTGAGCCTTCATGGCAGCAATCTCTTCATGGAGATACTCAAGTTCCGATTCTTGCCATGCCTTGATGTTCTTCTTGCGAAGCTCAACTTGTCTGCGACGGTACTTAATATCCAAGAGAGGCGATGGGAATTTGCCAGGGTTTTCACGAGCGGTTGTAAGAACACCTTGACCTGGAGCAGGAACGGAGCGTCCGATCTTGTCAGTAGCAGTTGTTGTCAACCCAAGGATACCATAGATTGGTACACCCATGTCAAGAGCAAGTCTGGCAGTCATGATGACTTGGATACCACAACCTTGTGACTCCATGAAACCATTTCTGGTGGTGGTGGTAGGACGAGACATCTCTTTAGGTGTACGACCATGGGCCATTTCATCAACAGCATTACTGGTGGCTTTCATGTTGGCAAACTCGTATGAACCTTCCTCTTGGAAGTCATCGAATCCACCAACGAAACAGACACGAGCCTTTCCTTCGACAATAGTCTCATAACCAATATCGACGGATTCGACTGATGTGGCGCAAGCACCAACAGGAGTCTTGATTGGACCAGTGGAGGGACATCAAACAACATGTTGACCCAGGCACTCATGGTGTTAATGAAAGACTCTTGGAGAATATCCTTTTGGAGTGGTTTGTCCAAGAAGCGGTCTTTGTACATTCCTCTAAGGGCCGTAGTACCACCAATACCAGATCCGATGCAGTTACCCACTTCGGAGATGTGCACATATTGATAGAACTCATATGGATCAGTAATACCAGATGCCAAAAGAGACTCGACAGTGCAGACAAGGACGAACAAGGTAACGGGATCGACTTGTGAGATGATATCATCTGGAATACCATATTTCTTAGCATCCCATCCAGTTGGGATTTGACCGGCGACAAGTCGATCGAAGCGAAGGGCCTTTGGAATGAGTAGCGTAGCACCCTTACGCATGCGGACGAGATACTCTCCAGATTCTGGAATCTCAAAGATCTCAGCCTTGTCGCCGTGCTCACGTTTGAATTCTTCTGCAGTTTCCTTGGAGGTCTCGAATGGCTCCAAGTCCTCTTCAATAACAACCTCTTGAAGCAATTGCTTCTTCTCTGGGTTGTAGCCATTGAAAAGTTCAGGCTCAATCAAACGGATACCAGAGTGTTCGAGAATGTATTTCTCGTATTTGCCCTTAATATCTTTGTCGTCAACTGGATCTCCGGTCTTGGCATCAACCCATCCTGCGTATGATTTTCCTTTGAGGTTACCATTGTGGTTTTTGATAAGACCCATGATCCAGGCCATCTCAACACAACCTTCCAAAGAGAACTGACCGTACGCCTCCATTTCCCATCGAGTACGAGAGTTACCCCATGGTCCGACCTCAGCGAAACCAGTAACGACAACAACCTTTTCGAGATCGACCATACCCTTGAGGTTTTCGTTAAGTGGAGCCACTTCCTTTTTCCAGTCTGGCAATTGTGGGAAGTCGTACTTGATGTTTGCACGTGGTTCAATTGTGACCTTTTTGTAGAGAGCTTCACTGTCCTCACCATTGACAATCTTGTTCTCAATAGCAGTTTCCTTGGTGACAGCTTGTCGGACTTCGCTAGTCTCCATGATATCCTTTCGGAGTTTTGTCATCAAGTCCTTGAGGTTAGGAATGAATTGTAAACCACCGTTCAAATCAGCGAAAACTGGCTCGGATTGGCAGAGATCAACAATGTTAGGGGCCATAAGACCCAACAAGTTGAAAGCCATCTCTTGTTGAGAGAATGTGCGTACGCCGTAAGCCTCGACACCTTCTGCAACAATGTTGTTACCAGACATGAGACCAGTACCACGAGTCCAGCCAATGACAGCTCCACAAATGGTGAGGAAATTACCCCAGCTCTCCGAGTGCCATCTGTTAAACAGAGTTTCCAATGCCAACTTGGATTCGGAGTAAAGACCATCATTACCGAATGTTCCGTGATTTGGAGAGAGCGGCAAGACAACTTGAGCAGGTCTAGTCTCGAAACCTCGCTCAAACTTCTGAGTTTTGATACAACCCAAGAGACGGAGAAGATTGGTCAACATGATACGGTGAGCGAGCTCAGATTTCGAGTCGATGCTATCAATCTCACGACCATTCTCGGGAATAGCAGCGAATGGAATGACATAGTCAAGATCCCATCCAAGACCGGTCTTTGGATCGTAGATATAGTTGACCAAGGCCTCAACATCTTGTTTGCTACCTTGGTTAAAGGGAACAACAATCAATTGAGATCCTCGGGATCCGTAGCGAGCATACATTGATTGATAGTACTCGGTGACCTGTCTGGAGAATCGACTGGTAGTTACGACAACCTTAGCGCCACCACTAATCAATCCTTGCAACACATCGGCACCAATTGAGCCAGCTCCGGCACCAGTCATCAAAGCATTCTTGCCTTGGAAAGTGACACCAGATTTAGCAGCCTGCTCTAATCCATCGAGATAGAGACCGGTAAGCTTCTTGCTGTACTCCCAACCATGCTCATCCTTTCTCTTCAAATGAAGGAATGGAATGGTCTCGACCTTTCCAGCCTTCACATTGCCATTTGCCTTTCCACCATTCATTTTGACTCCGTTCTTCTTGCCGTTGCTGTTCTCCTTTGGAATGATTTGTCCTTCACTCATCGCTAATGAGCGAATAACATCACTATACAGACTCTTGATTTGGAGTTGAGATGCTTTGGAGAGCTTGTGCTGTTGCTTGATCAGCTTGTAGATACGGCCGAGGTCATTCTGGACCTTGGTTCGGTTCCCGTATTCTGAGATCTTTCCTCCGTCAGCCATTTCTCGCACATAGTGCTCAAGCTTTCGGACACTCGATCTGGGGATTTCGGCGTAATCAAGATTGCCACGAGCATCGATTGTAGTATGTGGTCCAGTTGGCAATGCAACATCCTTGTAAACTGGTGCTTCGTTCAATACATCTCTGCAGTTGTCGATGAGCGATTGTCCAAGTTCTTTTGCAAGCTTGTAAGTCTCGCCACGCTCAGTTGGGCAGTTATCAATGTGATATTGCATAAATTCGAGAAGGGTGGGGTTGGATCTGTTCATGATACGAATGCACTGACTAACGATTTCCCGATCAACTGCTTGGAGTCGACCGAAAATGATATCGTAGTACATTGTCAAGGCATCTTGTCGCGCCCAATTCCAGGAAGAATCGTATACTCTAGCCTTCAATTGAGTGAAAACAGGCTCAATACCCGCAGCGTAAAATTCTCCGTGTTCGACGTTCCACAGGTCGAGTTGTGCTTGAAGGGCCTTTTCTGATTGTTGCGCACCAATAAACGCCTTGTCACCAGCTCGGAGATCCATCTTAAGGTATCTGGCAAAGAGTTCAAGCTGCTGCTTGAAAAGCGCTCTCTGATCCTTGGTCAAAGCATCAAGGGCAGCAGGATCCATCATCATTCCACCACCTGAACCACCTGCATCAGCACTGGCAGATACCGTTGACAGACTGATTCCTGCATTTGCTGCATATTTTTGTGAAACATCGTCGAGGAAGGCCTTAGCATCATTTTCGGATCCCAAACGTGCTGCTGGCTCCATCGTCAGGGCCAAAAGCAAGACACCATCTTGTCTGCCGGATGCCAAACCCCAGCGTGTTTCCAGATATTTTCTGGCTGTAGTTATATTGAATCCACCCGGCATTTTAGAGGAAATTAACCTCGCAACAAGCGATGATGATTGTTTTCCTAATTGGCCGTTGAAAGTTTGTTGCATCGAAGCTCCCAATTCGTCCAGAGGGGTATCTTCTGGCTTCTCAGGCGTTGACCCGAATTCTTTGCCCAAATCTCCCAATATCTCGTTTTGAAGTGTAGATTTTCCTGTAGAAATCCCAAGATTAGCCTCTACAACCCTAGCAATGAAAAAGACAATTCTTACCTCCGACAAGATCCTTGATGGCCTTTGTCAATGGAATTTCCAAGAGTGGTTTCTTAAGTTTTTGGGCAATCAGAGATCGCACAATATCTATGGCTCCGACTGGGGCATCTGGGACTTGTGCGGCTGGACCTGCACTTGGTGGAGGAGCTGCTGCAACTGGGGCAGGTGCTGAACCAGAAGATGCTGCTGGTGCTGGTGTAGAATCACTTGGAGCGGCCGCAGGCTCATCCTCCACTGGGTCGACATCATAGTAGATCTCCTTGGCATCTTTGTTATAGCATAGAATTTGACGTTGAATAGATTTTGCTGCATCGTAGGCTTCGTATTTGGAGGCGAGTGTCCGCTTGGCCATAGTACCAAGGGTATCTGCAGGACCGATTTCGACGATTCTTTCGGTGGTCTTCTCATCCAAAATCACATCTTGTGTTTCAATCCATCTTACGGGAGATGCAAATTGATATGCCAATAGCTCGACAAGGAGCGTATGGGCGAGCTCTTGCTCGACTTCGGGACGCATATTTGAGAATTGTGTGGTCGAGGGAAAATTAATTTGTATTCGAAGGGGGTATCATAAAAAGAATTTCTGCGAAGGAATTCTAAAAGTTTGGCCAAACTGTCAAATTCAAGAACTGAATCTAAAACAGACCTTCCTCTTTTTTTTGTGAAAGTAGTGAACTTAAGACTACCCTGGGAATTCCCCTCTCAAGTCTGTCTATATCTAGTAATACAAAGTATCTAGAGACTTTTTCTTTTCTAAATCAGCACACAAAAAGACTGATTTTATTAGGGAAACTGAAATCAAAGTGAAGTTTGAATAACGAAGATTGGAATAACGGACAGAATAGAAGAAGAGAGGGGATCTTCTAAGGTTCTATCTGGTGGAGCGGAGAAAAGACCAAATGTTAGAGGATGGTACGAAGTAGACAGAAGCTCTGGGTTTTTCTCGCCTTTCTACGGTATGAGCATTATTTTGGCCAGGATTACAAGGGGAGACATCTCAATGGTTGATGAATTTTTGGCCCTCCTCCCAACAGACGGGTGAGGATTGAGACTAGACACGGAAGAGGCTTAGCGTCACGTTCTAACCCTTGTTTATAATTCTTCCCTCCTCGATAGCACGAGTGAGCATCAAACATCTATCTCAACGACCTTTTTTTGGATCCAATCCAATATCATGGGTTTCAAGAATTGGGTCGACTTCGTGTGTACGGCTTCCGGAATGAAGGCATTCGACCACACTTTGCCAATATCGCCAATTGTTACACGCTTCTTATGCTACATGTGCAATCCGATATTGATCAAACATATCACCCACAGATATTCTATACAGGATGTGAAGTGTTTACGTTGTTTACAGTTTATCATATTTACCGCATTTTACATGCCTCCTGCATCCATACCTAAGGTAGCCAGGTAGGGCAAGAGGGCAAGAGGGCAGAGATGGTCGGCACATTTTTACTTCCTTTCCGCTGGACCCCTTGATTTGATTCCATGCATAAACCGGGGTTTTAAAGTGCAAACCCTAGCTTCAAAGGCGATCTGTCTTGCAAAACATACCTACTGTTTTACTCGATCAGGAATCAAGATGTATCGTGGGAGCAAATGCATCGCAGCCTTCTTTTCCACGTCAATCATGCTAGCGAGTGAAGATGTGATAGTATACCCGATCATACATACCCAGTACTCAATCATGGATCACATATCGATATTAATGAATATCATGCCATTACTCCGGAGGCATTTGGAAATTGGAATATTGGAAGCAGACATGTCGACATTCCTCCTCAACAAATGAGGTTGATTACTTATCTACCCAGATACCGAGATGCCAACGTCGTATACATGCGTATTAGGTAGTTATTGATTACTCTTCAAGAGAATGAAGATGCTGTTACTATGTTGACATTTGGAAATTGCAATGTTGTAAACAAGTATATTTATTATATTAATTAGTATTCCTGCTCAACAAATAATGATTACTTATCTGCCCACCTAGATACCCAGATACCTAGATACCTACATCGTATACATACTAAATCCTTCGGGATAGATCACATATCGAGAGTGATTACTCTCGAGAGAATGAAACATCATGCCATTACTCCGGAGGCATTTTGGTCGACATTCCTACTCAACAAATGATATTGATTACTTATCTACGGAGTAGGTACCTATCGTAGATACATTTATTGAAAACTCCCCAATAATAAGACTAGCTAAGCCAACCACGAATGGCAAATTACTCACTCTGAATATCTACATGTCTCGCTATGTTGGCGAGAAGACCCTTTTTTATTTGCTTTCCCGATAACTATGGTGCCACGAAGTTTCAGGGGGGCGAGAAAGGAAGAAGGAGGGGTGTGTCAGTTAAGAGCGAAGGACTAGCTAGGGACAGTACTACTCGTACATAGAGACTATTAGAAAATTCCAGAATACCTACCACTCCGTTCCGAGAGGACACATTTAAAAGGGGATCTTCGGTTCCAGGACTCAACATGCGGCTACTAGTATAAAAGTTCAGGAGTTGGTGGTGGTTCATCTCTGGCTCAATACTTCACTGGCTGGAAGAAACTATTGAAATGGTAAAATGTGAAATGTGGAAATGTTTGAAAACTCAATCTTCGATTCTTTCTTACTCTGTATCTGGGACCAATTCCATCTACCTACCTCGTAGTCAGTCCGATGACTCTTTTCTCTTCCGCTCGAACCAAATTCCCAAATTCCTCGAGGTTGTGTGACGCAGTGACGTTCATGCAATAGAGATAACAAATACCAAGGACCGCTTCAAGGCTGACTATCTGACGACTTTAGCTGACAGGGTCCTGGATGACCCAGTCAAATAGTATAAAGTCGTAGTGGGTGAATGCATTTCAACCCCTCCGTGAGCTTGGTGCCCCAACAAATCTCTAACTAAATTTGGGTCTCTTCCCCTGTCCCGGTGAATGATTTTTTGGCGTTACGTTAGAGGGCGAAGCTTGGATACATTTTGGGTAGAAATGTGAGAATTGTATTGTTGTTGAGATTGAGAATTATTAGAAAGCGAGAAAGCTTCCATCTTAGTCCTCCCTCCCTCCCCTACCTTGCCCCATAGAAGGGAGTCTTGATCGTGAAACTTCTTTTTCCAAAATTCATATCTAAAAAAAGGCAGAAAACCTAACGCAGATTGCCAGCTTCTGCTGAAAATCTTCACCCTCTGTTCGTCGGTTTATATCCCACATCGTCAATTAATAAATTCTCTCATCTCCCTCTCCCTCTCCCTCTGTCTCATACCTACATTTTTTTGCATCTTGGTGGAGCGATTGTATCCTTGTTAGAATAAAAGACCGTCTGTGACTTTTTACACTACACCACATCAAATCCCTTTTCTCCTGCTCTTGATTGAGTTTCTGGAGGCCTGTGAAAAAATGTGAGTACAATCCAACAATCCATTGTTTAGTGTTGAACGACACCTCTCGACCGAGTACCTTTTATTGATTCTGCAAAAACTAGTTGAAGACAAATTCACCACTTCTACACGCACAACACACAATCTACCACTCGCCATCATGTACGGTACTGCCACCGGCCCTCAAACGGGCGTCTCAACACCACGATCCTCATCATCGCTGCGACCACTCGTTCTCTCACATGGCTCATTAGAGCATTCATTTTTGATACCCACAAATATTCATTTCCAAGCTTCTCAGATCAAAGACCGTTTTCTGGCCTCCCTTCCCGAGCCTACAGACGAACTCGCACAAGATGACGAGCCTTCATCTGTGGCCGAGCTTGTTGCCAGATATTTGGGCTTTGTAGCACAAGAAGTTGATGAGGGCGAAGACGATGCGCAAGGATCATATGAGGAGGTTTTGAAACTCGTTTTGAACGAATTCGAACGTGGTTTCTTGAGGGGCAATGAGGCTCACGCTTTGGTTGCCACTCTTCCTGGAATTGACGCAAAGAAACTCAAGGTAGTCCAATCCTACTATGCTGCGCGTGCAGCTAGCAATAGGCCAATTCGCCCTCACGAATCAGCATTGTTCAGAGCGGCTAGCGACGATGAAGCCAAGATTTACAATGTTTTTGGTGGACAAGGAAATATCGAAGAATACTTTGATGAGCTTCGGGAACTGTATAGCACATATGCGGTCTTTGTGGAGGATCTAATCACCGAATCTGCAGAGCTGCTGCAGAGTCTGTCAAAGGATTCCAGAGCCGAGAAATTATATCCAAAGGGTTTGGACGTTATGTCCTGGCTTCATGATCCCGAGTCCACTCCAGATCTTGATTATTTGGTTTCGGCACCAGTCAGTTTTCCATTGATTGGTTTGGTACAGCTCTGTCATTATGCTGTGACCTGCAGAGTTTTGGGACTTACTCCGGGGCAATTCAGAGACAGAATTAGTGGAACAACTGGTCACTCTCAAGGTGTTGTTTTGGCTGCTGCTACCTCTGCTGCAGACTCATGGGAATCATTCGACAAGGTCGCAGTCTCAGCTCTTACAGTCTTGTTCTGGATTGGATCTCGCAGTCAGCAGACCTTCCCAAGAACCTCTCTCGCACCCAATATTCTCCAGGACTCCGTCGATAATGGCGAAGGAACACCCACACCTATGTTGAGCATCCGTGATTTATCGCAAGCTCAAGTTCAGGAACACATCGACGCAACCAACAAATATCTTCCAGAAGATAGACAAATCGCCATCTCTCTTATTAACAGTGCTAGAAATATGGTTGTTTCAGGACCTCCAATTTCTCTGTATGGTCTCAACCTTCAATTACGTAAAGTCAAGGCTCCAACTGGTCTTGACCAGACGAGAATTCCATTCACAGAGCGCAAAGTTAGATTTGTAAACAGATTCTTGCCAATCACATCACCTTTCCACAGCAAATACCTTGCTGAAGCTACAAACCATATCAACGAAGATCTAAAAGATGTCAAGATTGATAGCAAAGCGTTGGGCATTCCTGTCTACGACACCAATACCGGAAAGGACATCCGGGATGATATTCAGGGCAATATTGTGCCAACTTTGGTGCGTTTGATTACCCACGATACTGTTGAGTGGGAAAAGGCTACAGTTTTCCCAAATGCAACTCACGTCCTTGATTTCGGCCCTGGTGGTGTATCTGGTCTTGGTGTTTTGACCAGCCGCAACAAGGATGGAACCGGTGTTCGTGTTATCTTAGCTGGAACAGTCAGTGGTACCGTTCCAGAGGTCGGTTACAAGCCCGAGCTTTTCGATCGTGATGAGGAACACGCCGTCAAATATGCAGTTGATTGGGTAAAGGAGCATGGTCCAAAATTGGTCAAGACCTCAAGCGGTCAAACATTTGTGGACACAAAGATGAGTCGAATTTTGGGAGTCCCCCCTGTCATGGTTGCTGGTATGACACCATGTACTGTTCCTTGGGATTTCGTCGTTGCGACTATGAACGCCGGTTATCAAATTGAGTTGGCTGGCGGTGGATACTACAATGCCAAGACTATGACCGAAGCGTTGAGGAAGATTGAGAACGCCATTCCAGCTGGTCGTGGTATTACTGTCAACCTTATCTACGTCAACCCACGTGCTATGCAATGGCAAATCCCACTCCTCGGGCAATTACGTGCAGAAGGTGTCCCAATCGAAGGTCTCACAATCGGTGCTGGTGTACCTTCCATCGAGGTGGCACAAGAATATATTGAAACTCTTGGCCTGAAACATATCGCGTTCAAGCCAGGATCTATGGAGGCGATTCAAGCTGTCATCAACATTGCAAAGGCCAACCCAACTTTCCCAGTCATTCTCCAATGGACTGGAGGACGTGGAGGCGGGCATCACTCCTTTGAGGATTTCCATCAACCAATTCTTTCAATGTACTCGCGTATCAGAAGACAGGAGAACGTTCTCTTGGTCGCAGGCAGTGGTTTCGGTGGCGCAGAAGATACCTATCCTTATCTCACTGGTGAATGGTCAAAGAATTATGGCTATCCCCCAATGCCATTCGATGGATGTCTCTTTGGTAGTCGTGTCATGACAGCCAAGGAAGCAAAAACCAGCATAAATGCCAAGAAAGCCATCACTGAAGCCGAAGGTCTTGATGATGCCGCATGGGAGAAGACCTACAAGGGCCCTGCCGGTGGTGTCATTACTGTTCGATCTGAAATGGGTGAGCCAATTCACAAGTTGGCAACTCGCGGTGTTAAATTCTGGGCTGAGATGGATGCCAAGATCTTCAGTTTACCAAAGGAAAAGCGAGTGCCCGAGTTGAAGAAGAACCGTGATTACATCATCAAGAAGTTGAATGATGATTTCCAAAAGGTTTGGTTTGGACGTAACAAAGCCGGGGAGACAGTCGATCTTGAGGACATGACATATGGTGAAGTTGTCCGCAGAATGGTAGACTTGATGTATGTCAAGCACGAGTCTCGTTGGATCGACAAATCATACATTAAGCTCACTGGTGACTTCATTCGCCGTGTTGAGGAGCGTTTCACAACTGCTCAAGGACAGCCATCCATGCTCCAATCTTACGCAGATTTGGAAGATCCTTACCCAACCGTGGAAAAGATTCTAGCTGCTTACCCAGAATCGGAGAAACAACTCATCAACGCTCAAGATGTTCAACACTTCCTCATGCTTTGCCAACGTAGAGGTCAAAAGCCAACTACTTTCGTGCCATCTCTTGATGAAAACTTTGAATTCTTCTTCAAGAAAGATTCTCTCTGGCAATCTGAAGATCTTGAGGCTGTCATCGGTCAAGATGTAGGCAGAACTTGTATCTTGCAAGGACCAATGGCTGTCAAATACTCCAAGGTTGTCGATGAGCCAATCAAGGAAATTCTCGACGGTATTCACAACTCACACATCAAGTCTTTGACCCAAGATATCTACGGTGGAGACGAATCTTCTATCCCAGTGCTTGAATACTTTGGTGGCAAGCTCATTGAAACCGAGGAGGAAGTCGACTTTGAAGGTCTCACAATTTCGGAAGATGCTGACAAGACCACTTACCGATTGTCATACTCTCCCACTGCTGTTCTGCCATCTCTCGAGGCTTGGCTCTCATTGCTCGCAGGCCGTAAGAGATCTTGGCGACATGCTCTTTTCACTTCCGAGGTATTTGTTCAAGGGCAAAAATTCCAAACAAACCCAATGAAACGAATCTTCTCTCCTGTCAAGGGTCTTTTTGTTGAGATCGCTCATCCTAACGATCCTTCGAAGACCGTAATCACCGTCAAGGAGCAACCTAGACCAAATCACTACGTTACAGTCATTGATGTGAAATTGGTTGGCAAGAACGAGATCTTGGTCAACATGATCAAGGACACAACTGCCGTCGGCAAGCCAGTATCTCTTCCATTGAAGTTCACATACCACCCTGAGGCTGGTTACGCTCCAATTCGCGAGGTCATGGATGACAGAAATGACCGTATCAAGGAATTCTACTGGCGAGCCTGGTTCGGTGGTGAGACTCTTGACCTCGACGCTTCAGTCACTGGTATCTTCAATGGTGGCAAAGCTACCATCACCAGTGAAGCTATCAACGACTTCGTTCACGCCGTTGGAAACACTGGAGAAGCTTTCGTTGACCGACCTGGTAAAGAGGTCTTCGCTCCTATGGATTTTGCTATCGTTGTTGGATGGAAGGCCATTACCAAGCCAATCTTCCCCAGAACAATTGATGGTGATCTTCTCAAACTCGTGCATCTTTCTAACGGGTTCCGCATGATCCCTGGAGCTGAACCGTTGAAGAAGGGTGACGAAGTTGAGACTACAGCCCAGATCAATGCTGTTCTTAATCAAGACTCTGGTAAGATGGTCGAGGTGTGTGGTACCATTACCAGAGAAGGCAAACCAGTAATGGAAGTTACTTCGCAATTCTTGTACAGAGGTGCATACACCGATTTTGAGAACACCTTCCAGCGTAAGACTGAGACACCCATGCAAATCCATCTTGCTACTTCGAAGGACGTTGCTGTTCTGAGATCTAAGGAGTGGTTCAACTTGGATGAGCCAGATCACGAGTTGCTTGGTCAAACCTTGACCTTCCGTCTTGAGAGTCTTGTCCGCTTCAAAAACAAGACCGTTTTCTCAAGTGTTGAGACTAGAGGTCAAGTTTTGTTGGAGCTTCCAACCAAGGAGATCATCCAAGTTGCAAGTGTCGAGTACGAAGCTGGTGTTTCTCATGGTAACCCAGTCATTGATTACCTTGAGCGTCATGGCTCTTCAATTGAACAACCAATCAACTTCGAGAACCCTATCCCTCTCAATGGCAAGACTCCCCTCTCTCTCAGAGCACCAACATCCAACGAAACCTATGCTCGTGTCTCGGGTGATTACAATCCTATTCACGTTTCTCGTGTCTTTTCTAGCTACGCAAACCTCCCTGGTACTATCACCCATGGTATGTACTCAAGTGCAGCTGTTCGCAGCTTAGTCGAGACCTGGGCTGCAGAGAACCACGTGGGTCGTGTTCGCAGTTTCCACGCTCAACTGACAGGCATGGTTCTTCCAAATGATGATATTGAAGTCAAGTTACAACATGTCGGTATGGTTGCTGGTCGTAAGATTATCAAGGTTGAGGCTAGCAACAAGGAGACTGAAGATAAGGTCTTACTTGGTGAGGCTGAAGTCGAACAACCAGTCTCAGCTTATGTGTTCACTGGTCAAGGTTCTCAAGAACAAGGTATGGGTATGGAGTTGTATGCCAGCAGTCCTGTTGCTAAGGAAGTATGGGATCGCGCCGACAAGCATTTCATGGACAATTATGGTAAGTTACTCAAGTCACTTTTTACGATATCATTTCTAATAATACATCAGGTTTCGCCATCACCAACATTGTCAAGAACAACCCCAAGGAACTCACTATTCACTTTGGTGGTCCTCGTGGTAAGGCAATTCGTCAAAACTACATGTCTATGACTTTCGAAACTGTCGGTGCCGATGGTTCTATCAAATCCGAGAAGATGTTCAAGGAAGTTGATGAACGTACTACGTCCTACACCTACAGATCACCAACCGGTCTTCTCTCTGCCACTCAATTCACACAACCCGCCTTGACATTGATGGAGAAGGCAAGTTTCGAAGATATGCGCTCTAAGGGTCTTGTTCAACGTGATAGCAGTTTCGCTGGTCACTCCCTCGGAGAATATTCTGCCCTTGCTGCTTTGGCAGATGTCATGCCAATTGAGAGTCTGGTTTCTGTCGTCTTCTACAGAGGTTTGACTATGCAAGTCGCTGTCGAACGTGATGCCTCTGGACGATCCAACTACTCTATGTGCGCTGTCAACCCAAGCAGAATTTCCAAGACCTTCAACGAAGAAGCCCTTCAATACGTTGTTGCAAACATTGCTGAAGAAACCAGTTGGTTATTGGAAATTGTCAACTACAACATTGCCAATATGCAATACGTTTGCGCTGGTGATCTAAGAGCTCTTGACACTCTCACTGGTGTAACCAACTACCTCAAAGCTCAAAAAATCGACATCCAAGAGCTCATGCAAACCCTGAGTCTCGATGACGTCAAAGCACATCTTGTTGAAATCATCCGCGAATGTGCTAAGCAAACCGAAGCCAAGCCCAAACCTCTTGATCTCCAAAGAGGTTTCGCTACCATTCCTCTCAAGGGTATTGATGTGCCTTTCCACTCCACATTCTTGAGAAGTGGAGTCAAACCATTCAGAAGTTTCTTGCTCAAGAAAATTAACAAGACAACTATCGATCCTAGCAAATTGATTGGAAAATACATTCCTAACGTTACAGCTAGACCTTTCGAATTGACCAAGGAATATTTCGAGGATGTTTATCGTTTGACTAATAGTCCAAAGATTGGCAATGTGTTGGCTAATTGGGATAAATACCAAGATGGTTATGAGGAACCTAGTGGGGATGAGGTTGAGGCAGAGACAAATGGTGTTAATGGAACTCATTAGATGAATTGGGTTGAGGATTAGATCATTTTAAGGAAAATGATGATAAGTTGATGGATGGGTATTTATCAAAGGCTTTGCTTTGTTTTGCGGGCGTCGGAGTATGTTTATAAGAACGCATGCATCTGCTGGAATGATGGATGAAAAAATGGATGGACCATCACACTTAGATTAGATGGTAGATGGATCGATCATTCGGTCGTGGGCTAGATGGTTGTTAGTTAGTTTATGATGATAGCATATTGTAATTCTTTTCTGTTAGATTTTGAGATTTTTTATACGTGGTGTTTCGTGAGATCAGTGATGTGTGATGTGTGATAATGCTGATGCTGATGCTGATGCTGATGCTGATGCTGATGGTATCACTGTAGAGATGGATCATTCATTCAAAAGGCTTAGAATATCAATATTTCAAAATTAAAACGACCTGAACTAGCACATGCTAGACCCCAAATGGTACTTTTGACATTTGAGGTATCAATACATGGAATGTTGCTATATGGGGTTATTACCGTAGATATAATTTAGCAATATATTTTCAACAATGTACTCATCTCAGACTATAGTAGTGCCGAGCGTGTTCTTAACCTTACTTCAAAAGGTTTCCGCTCTACAACTGTAAAAACCCTTTGCTCTGCCCATTTCAAATTCCCAGCCTCACTATCCACTTTCTCCAAATCAAACCTCCACACTATTCTCGCAAGCACAAGTTTCAATTCGGCTATCGCCAGAGGTCTCCCAATACAAGAGCGAGGACCTATGCCAAAAACTTGAACTGCATTGCGATTGTCGTTGTGAAAAGGAGACGAAGAATCGTTTGCTGCGAGCCATCTCTCGGGGTGAAATTCAGATGGTTTGTGGAAATATTCAGCCGATAGGGAGATGGATAGGGGATGCACGTTGACGAATATATTTGGGGGGAGATTGTATCCGCATACGCGGTCGCCGTCTGGAGGTACGACGCGCGGGAGACCGACGGGCCTGTGGATTGTTAGGTTGGGGATCTGGGTAAGGAAATGGGGTTCTTACGTGGGATTGCAGAGTCGGAAGCCTTCTTGAATGACTGCGTTTAGATAGGAGGTTTCCCTCAGCGTAGCAATTGATATGTTCTCTTCGTCCTCGAATTTCTCGCGGATTTCCGAGGTGAGAATGGCGAGTTTCTCAGGGTTGTTCACGAGATAATTCGTAATGCCGCTGAGAACACTAATTGTCGTTTCGCTTCCTGCAACAATGATAGCGCTCGCTGTCGCTTGCAACTCCTGAATCGTCAATCCTTCTTTCCCATCCTCATCCCGTTTAATCAGAGAGATGATATCCGGTCTCGGCGTCTCTCTCCAGCCGACGATTTATTTTCTCAACAGCTAGATTCCCAATGCTCCATCTGTTTCCGCACCACACTCTTCGGCACAAAATACGCAAGCAGCCAACTCAATCCCGGATAGTACCCCAGCGCCGCTCGATACGTCGCTGCGCGCAGAGAGCTAAAGATCATCGCAACCCAGGGATGATATTCCTCGCTCTCCAAACATCGAAATGATTCTCCGAAGCCCAGATCGCCAATGAGATCAAAAGTAAAGAACCCATACCAGCGAACAATATCCACAACCACACTCTCGCCCGCATCCGCATTCCGCTCTACGAGATCTCCCAAGCGGCTCATCAGAGAATCAACATACCCGCCCATCAAACCCTGCTGACTCCCCAGCGCCCGCTCCGTAAACGCGCGCTCCATCGCCCCGCGAAATCTGCGATGCGTCGCGGGCTCCAGCGCATTAAGTACGGACATTGATCTCCCGGTCTTGACACCATGCCAGAGGGTACTTTTCGGGAACGGGGGGGGCACTTCCGTGATTAGAATAGATATCGTGCCAGGCCTGCGGGGTGGCGAAGGAGAGTTCGTCGGGGGCGATACGCACGATGGGCCCGTGTTTTTGGTGGAGGGCGGTCACGTCGTGTGCGAGATGGCCATACCAGAGGGAGGTGAGGTAGGGGATGCGGGTGCAGATCCAGGGAGGGGACCTGGGAATCGGGAGAGCGGGTGCAGGTAGATGGTGTGTATTGTGTGGGAGATTTGGTACTGCGGATATGGATTGTGAGCACGCGATGTGATAGCAGGGAGTTTTTATGTATGCGTACGAGGATGAATACTGCGAGTGCAGCAAACCCGCATTCTTTGAATGTTAATTCGGGAGAAATTAGACGAGGAAAAAAGGTACTCATATTTCCCTCCTGGAGATTTGAACATAGACTTGAGAAATCTCTATCTAAAGTTTGGTACTATTCCATACAGCTTGAAAAACTTTAAAAAGTTGAAAACAAAAACATAAAGTGGCTCTTTATTTGCATGTATGTACCTATATATATATATCTGAGATTAATTAATTGAAGAGGGGTAAAGATATTCCAACTCATTCAAATTTCAAACAGTTGATCTTACTCGCATACTGTGCCACGTGTATCTAATCTATCTACCCAAGGGTGCGAATAATTTCATCCAGTTTCTTGATTGCAAAATCCAACTGTTGTAATTGTGTACCCTCATTACACACAAGGTTTCCGCCGAAAAGTCGGAATTGACCAAAAAATGGTAGAGATAGAAGTGTTCATGGAAAACAATGTGAACTTCACATCTATTTTGGCCCACCCCTTGATGGACGTCAATCAAGATCCCACATTAAACAACTATAGAGAGGGATTCTGATTTGGAAAAAAATCTTGAATAGTAGGTAAATCATGATTTCATATTTTATTCTGTATATTGGTGTACGCGTTCGTATATTCATATTCATGTATGCATCTATTTACTTCATCCTCTGTCTTTCCCTTTCTATCCTCTCACACTGACTGCCTTCACCCTTCTCATTTTCCCTTCCCCTTTCCATCTTTCCCTTTTCCTTCATCTTCAACCCTAACCTTCATGACATCTGGTACCTCTACCCCTTCAACCTTATAAATCAACCCCCTATATCCATCACTGACAACCCAAACATCGAATACTCTCCCGTCCATAATATTTCCCTCCTCTCCTTCTTCCGTTCCAGGAAATTTAAGTGTTGCTTTTGCTTGAGGTTTGACTCCTACACCTATCACACTGGTATTTTGTTTTCCCTCATCTCCATTGCCAACATTTCCATTCTGAGCACCTTTACCCTTCAAGTTGGTCTTAGGAGCACTCCATCCCAATCTCTTAATAGCAGCTACCTCATCACTTCCTTTGCTACAGAGCACAACAAACCATCCCTCACTCTGACTCTTGGGGAATCGAGGCGCATACATTTTTCCCTCCTTATCCACCAGTCCATTAAGTCTCTTGATTACAACATCCATTTTCAACGCCGTAACATTTTGTACTTCAACTTTCAAGTTCGGTATCATATTTGCTGCTTTATCAAAAGCTTGTGTATTTCTACTCGGAAGTTGTAGTTTATTTTTGAGAGATTGATACGCGTTTTGAGGTAAGGCTGAGAATTGTTGAAGTAATGTGGGAATGTCGTTGTCCTTGGATGGTTTGAAATCAGGAACTACACCAGGGAAGATGGACAAAGCGTGATCTTCCGGCCAACGAGCTGATTTGATACATTGAAGTAAAGTAATCATTTGCACAACGCTTGATAGGTATCCCAATTCCGTAAGGACATCGATGGAAGCTTGAATGATACGGATAGCTTGGTCGAGAACACTAGTTTGATCACCCACATAATCAGAAATGGGAAGATCAATCCTGCTCATGTGGGCCTGAAGTAACAAAAACGCTTTCACGTGAGGATCCCACATTGGAAGACCATTGAAATGTGCTGCGTCTGCTGGGAGAGGTAGGTTCTTGGAAAGTTCAATGTTAATGAGATCTTCGTTGTGGCGAACCGGGAGTTCGTCGTATTCGGTTGCGGAAGACATCCAAGAAAGTACATCGCGGAATGAAGCATTTGGTTTAGCATGTTTGACTAGGTGACGAATGGTTTTGTGAGAAAGATAGTAGTAGGACATGATTTTTCCGAGAGGGGTAGAATCGATATTGCCATTAGGGTAGATTTCCAGACATTGGGATTCGGCGAGCTCGTCCAATGACTTATCTACCATTGAGATCATGTAATCATTGGCCATTTGTTGAGCAGCAATGGTATTGTGTTCTTCGGCCGAGATCTCAAGACCATAGTATGAAGGATTTTTATGGAGACGTCGGAAGAAGAATGTCCAGGTTAGATAATCTAGGGCATCTTGTTTGGTAGTGATGGTTTCAGCGGATACTTCAGCGCCAAGATGGTTGTCTAGAACGTTGTGAAGAGAGGATTCTACTGGGAAACCTGTATGTAGGAAATGTTTGTAAAATGCTTTCTTTGAATCTTGAGTGAAGATACGAGCGATTCCTGACGTATCGAATTGAGGACGTCCAGCACGACCCAACATTTGCAGTACATCTGTCAAGTCCATATCTTTGTATCCTTCAGTCTTAGCGTCGAAGAACTGAGTACCCTTTACAACGACTAAATGAGCTGGAAGATTGACACCCCAGGCTAGAGTGGATGTTGCAACAAGAATCTGAATCTTGTTGTTGGCAAAGAGCTCTTCGGCCAACGAACGATCAGATTCAATCAGACCAGCATGATGCAAACCGATCCCAAAACTCAGGGCTTCCTTCAAAGCGTCATCCTTGACTCGGGCAAGGTTCAGTTGGAGATCTTCCTCAGACATCTTGACAAATCGACGAGGGTTGTCCTCCATACCACAGAAGTTAATCAAATCCTTAGCTGTCAAACGTGTTTGTCTACGGGAAGCAACAAAAACAATGACCGGTTTTTCTGGACTGTGTGTTTTGATGGCTAAGAAAGTCGGTCTGTTCATAGATTGCATTAGGGGGCAGAAGCCTCGAACCTCTGGGAAACCATCGATAAAAATTTCCAATGGGACAGGTCTAACGGAATGCCTGAAGTTAAACAGTCCTTCCTTAACACCAAGCCAGTTTCCTAAATCCATAGCATTGGCGCACGCAGTCGACATACCCATAAGTCTGACTGAGTTATTGGTCTGAGTTGCAATGTAATTCATACGAGAAACAATAATTTCCAAAATAGGACCACGATCTCCACCAAGCAAATGAATTTCATCAATAATAACCAAGCTAACTTGTCGAACATAACCTCTCGTAGTCCACGAACGACTAATACCATCCCATTTTTCTGGAGTAGTAATAATGATGTCCGCATCTCGAATAGTTCGCGTATCAGGTGTATTGTCACCAGTCAACTCAACCAATTTCAAGCCCATTTGTCGAGTTAATCTAGCCCCCCAATCTTTAACTCGCTCTCGAACAAGTGCTTTCATGGGAGCGATGTAGACAACCTTAGAGCCAGGCTTCTCTCGGAATGCCCACCACATAGCCAACTCACAAGCAATAGTCTTTCCAGATCCGGTTGGTGACCCAAGAAGAACATTTGCTGGTGTATGATATAAAGTGTGAAAGATCTGAGTTTGCATAGGATTGAAAAACTGGAAACGTTTGCCATAAATCTCTTCTAAAGCCGGGTTCTTCAGGGCAGTAATTGGTAGAGGTTGAAGATTCAAAAGATCAGTGTACACACTTTCGGTGTCAGGTCTGATTAAATGTTGGAAAGAAATTGGATACACCGTTTCTGCGCCCAACCATCTATCAGAAACTGCTCTTACATAGATCTGCGTAGGGAGCGGATCCGATAGTGGGATAGTGAAGCTGAGTTCGTGGTCGTCGTATAACTTCTTTCTGTTCAAAATGAAGAACTCATGATGGTATATTTCAGAAGTCTCCGAGTTCTCAACCCAGATCCAATAACTTTCAGATGTACCATTGTGGCGATCGTTCCACTTGAACTCTGGCGTGAGGTAAAGACGGATTCTCAAAACATCTCTATTCAGTGGAGCGATTTCGGCTTCCACGCTGAGTGTAGGAAAGTTATCAAGAATTCTTGAGATTGTCCTTCCAGCACCAGGATTGTGTACCATGGCACCAATTTCAGCTGCATCCATCTCCTTTAGAGTTTCAATGGAAAGATTTTCCTTATCATCAAGCTGTTTAAGGATTGGCTGGGCTAGCTCGAATTGATGAAGAGGATGTTGGAATGGCCAAATTCTCTTCTCAATTGACTTGCATAGTGAGAGAAGCACGAGACATTGGTGGCCCCAACGACGATTCAAAGCAATCATGAATAATGCACGACAAATTCTGGCCGATTGCTGAGCAACGTAGTTTGTATCGTTGGCTAGAGCAAAGTCCTCAAGTTTGGCTCGAGATATGTAAGACTGTAAAAGAATATTCGTCTTGGCGTGTGAGGAATCAGTTCCACCTTTTACCTGACAAGGAGAGAAATCTTCTCTCAAGCTGGTAAGCTCCTTTGACTCGCTGTCTCTTGATTGAATTTGATCAAACTCTCCGCTCATAGCAATCATCGTGAGAACATCAGCTTCGGAAGATTGAGGTTGCATCATGGTGTTAAATATCTGAATACTGGTATGGAGGACATAAAATTGACTTGCAATGCGTCCAACATCCTTACTTCTGAGCTCCTCGGTCGTTTCATTGAAGATAATCATTTGGCTTTGCTGAAGTGTCTTTGCTGCTTGAATGCATAGTTGTCTTCGACGCTGTACCAAATTTGGATCATCGCGAGCTTCAGCCCAATCGATACCATAAGTCAAAGGATCTCTCTTCATTCGGACGAACAAATAAGAGTATCCAAGCCATGCGACAGCTTCGGGGATCGATGTGACTGTCCCCAAACCGATTTCAGCGTTAAGATTATCCACAAGATGTTTCGAGAATCGAGACTCGATAGGGACTTGTGATGTGACGGCCTGGAGGTAGTGATCAAGCTTATCTGCTGTCGTGCAAATCATACCAATACCAGTATCCTGAAATTGTGGTCTACCTGCACGACCGAAAATTTGAAGAACGTCCAAGATTCCAAGGTCAATAAATTTACCGTCTTGAGCACTGTAAACTTGTGTACCTTTGATTACTACTGCTGCAGCGGGCAAATTAACACCCCATGCCAAGGTAGCTGTACAGACAAGAACTTTAAGAACACCACTTCCAAATAATCTCTCCATCAGGTTTCTGTCTGAACGAGCCATACCTGCATGATGAATACCAATACCTTTTGGTACTAACTCCCGAAGTTCACGACCTCGTGAGCTCTTCATATCCTTTACAGCTGCTTCATATTGAGGATGATTAGTGGGATCGAATAAGTCTACACAAACTTGCTCTATAGCCTTTTCATACAACATCTTAGCAGTGTTGAAAGTGTCCTTCCTCGAATGAACAAAGACCATGACTTGGTGATCAAGTTCCAACATCTCTCGGACTTTTTCAAATGCAGTTGTATCAATATTCTCTCGTGATTGTCTGGTTCCAGCCTTCCCTTTAACTCCGATGAAGTGCTGTTCGAGAGGTACAGGTCTGAAGCTAGCGTCGAAATAAAACAGACCTGCATAACGATTGACTTTGAGGAAATCGGCCACATCGATGTAGTTCGGAAGGGTAGCAGAAAGTCCTACAATACGGATGAGAGATTGAGTGCTCTCAACTTGACGTTCAGTACGGGCAACTAGTGATTCTAGGACAGAACCTCGATCATCGTGAAGCATATGTACTTCATCAATAATCAAAAGTCGAACCTTTTGAACCAATTCAGTATCTCCAGTGCCTTTCCGAGTGACCACGTCCCATTTTTCAGGAGTTGTGACGATAATTTGAGTTTGGGTGATTTCCTTCTTAGTGAGATGCATATCACCAGTAAACTCGCGAACTTGTATACCCAACCACGCTAGACGACTACCTAGCTTTTGTGTAATTTCGGCTGCTAAGGCTTTCATTGGGGCGACATAGACAATCTTGAAGTCATTAAAATTAACCACAAAGTCTGAGGATTCGGGATTCTCTGATGGATGTGGTGAAACATTTTCTCCAATGGCGTGAAGTATCGTAAGCATTGCTGCATCAGTTTTACCAGCACCAGTGGGAGCACAAATCAACATGTTTTCGCTGGTCTTGTATGCTATTGGATAGACCAAACTTTGCATTCGATTGAGAGACTTGTAACCCTTGAAAGTTCTCTTGCAAAGGCCATCCATCTCAGAAATCTCGACAAGTCTTCGACCTGCACCTAAAGTTCCAACCTTTCCAGCCGGGACAGTATATTCCGAGTATCTCTCGTGTTCTGTTCTCTCACTACCCACCGGTAGAGCATACTTCTTTCCTCTCGAATCCAGGATGTTACCAGCATGATGCGACTTGTACACGTGGGGGTATTTTTCTTCGTCGCGATTAATGGACGGCCCTAGTGCGGCATGTTTATGCTCATAATCTCTCTGTCTTAAGGCTGCTTCTCGTTCCTTCCTAGTCTGTAACTTTCCAGTAAAGATGCCGTCATCTTGAGTTCCAATAGAACGTGAAGCGGCGGTGATATCCTTACGGTGGGAGATGACTTCAATGGCAAATTCTATATCATCAAAGCCGATCATGTCAATCAAAGTGGATTGAAGCTCTTCCTCTCCACTATCAGACCCTAGAATTGCCATGATTTGTTCCTGAAGGTCGTTTCCTGAAAGTCCTTGCTTCCTCTGAGCAATCTCCATACATTTGCTCTTCAGCCATTGAGGTCCATAGTGGCCTGCACCAGCGGAGTCAGAAAGACTAGGAAAATCATCGTTGACATCGCTGCTGGACAAATCATCATCCTGGTCACTGATGAAGTCCCAAACATCGTCCCCGCTATTTCCGGAAGTAAATTCATCATCGTCGTCGAAATCAACGTCGATATCATATGATTTAGTTTCCCCGTTCGTCGAGCTCGGAGGCAAATTCAACTCTGCCAAGGCGTTTTTCATAGCAGCAAGTTGAGCTTGCCATTGCACTTCAGCTGAGCCCAGCGTTGAAGAAGACATGATTTCCAAACAATCTATGTCAACTTCTCGAAAATGTAAAGTTCAAAGAAGATTTTAGTTTTTGCCATCATGAAATATAAATAAAGCTGCTTTAGCTGATTCACGCGGCGGGGAGTAATCAGTGGGGCCAACCGGGCATAATAAAATCCGTCGTCATACTGTAACCCCCATGTGATTGTACAGGATACAGCCCAGAGTTTCAACATCAAGAACAAAGCAAAGCCACATTCTTCCCAACCTACACCTATTTCTGCTATCTAGACATCAATCATATCTACAATCAACCCCAAATCGCAAAAATGAAGTTGCATTATATCGGAGTTCGTTCGCAGATATCGCAGTGATAATGTTATCAGGCTGACCGCTATCAGATAATCAAGAACTCGGAGACCCCCTCACACGAGCTCTGCTGCGTGAAAGAGTTGAGCGCATATGGCCGATTTACTAGAAACAGGTTAGCTTATCACTATCGTTCTACGTGGGACCAGACTGGTTAATAGGATGAATGTACAGTTACGGCGAATTCATGACGGTTTTCAGTAAGACAGTCGCTGAACGAACAAAGCCCGGCCAAAGGCAAGACATTGAACAAGATAGTAAATCTCAACTCCTCCAAATTACAACAAGACCCACTATCTGACAATATCAGGTAACACATTCCATGCCTATGGACGTTCCGAAGGTGTCTGTGGTATAATAATTTCCGACCACGAATACCCAGCCCTTGTCGCCCATCAACTTCTATCCAAAGTCGTCGACGAGTTTCTAAATGCACACCCTCGATCAGAATGGGCCGATTCAAACCCAACTCTCTCATTCCCCGAACTGAACGACTATATTGTGAAATACCAAGATCCGCAACAAGCAGATAGCATCATGAAAATCCAAAAGGAATTGGATGAGACGAAGATTGTGTTGCATAAGACTATTGAGAGTGTTTTAGAGAGAGGCGAGAAGATTGATACATTGGTGGCAAAGAGTGATGGGTTGAGTGCACAGAGCAAGATGTTCTATAGTGAGTTCTTTTTTATTACGATGGGAATTTACAAGGGCTTTTACTAATACATAAAATAGCACAAGCAAAGAAGCAGAACTCATGCTGCGTGGCTATGTAGATTGATGTATTTGGTTAGCTATGGCGTTCTCATCTTTTTTGATAGCATTCTCGCAGACATTGTTTCGATTGGAGGATGTAAATTGCAGTTTGAGGTTCGGGAATATTGGCGAGTGAGGTCGCAAAGTGGCTTAACTTTCAAGGCGACGTCTTAATACTTGAATGGTACAGATACAAATGCTTGGTAGTCTTCAATATTTCCTCGTCATTCGTTGGCGAAATATAAAGGAGCATATGCTCTACTTTACTGTTTGCCATCTAGTCTATACCTCATCAGAAGCCTGAATGTGAGCAAGTTTGGTGCCCCTTTTCATATACAGTCTAAATCGTCGTGAAAACTAGGACATAGCGTCATTCAAGCTCAGCTCGTCTCGTCCTATAACATCGTGTACATGTTCCGTGTTCCTTCGTAGTTCTTGTTGAAATTTCGTGGGTATCTGCCTGTCCCCTTTCTCAGACAGGTAACTCTGCTCCCCTCATTGCAACTCCGCTTCTATCGACCATGGCTCCGATGTATGAGCCAATAATCGGTATGTTCCTTGCGAACCCAGCTATAGTCCCTAGGAAGTCACCAAACAAGATAAATATGCCGTATAATTCCACCAGAAATCCTGTAAATGGCCACCTCATGAGGATGAGTGCAAGTCCAGCGAAAAAGGCTCCGGTCCCCTTAAGCTTTTGTCTCCGCGCAAAGAACGCCATTGTTTTTTGTGGTCCAATTATGACAGTTAAGCCGATTAAAAAGAGAATCTATATCGACATATTGTAAGCCAGGAAGCCCTGTTTCAAATCCAGAGAATACGCACATTTCCCATTGCGAGCCTACAATTTTATTAGTATCACCTTCCTTTGGATCTTACGGAGAGTTCAAACATACATAGCTCTATCAAAAAACATCATAACACCTCCGATCAGGAAGAACCCGCCTTTCAAGACCTCATTAGCTACACTAGATCTGAAGCACAAACCGTAGAATTTTACCTACCACCTGAACAAAAGGCTACCCCAATCTCTATACAAAGTATCCATTAGCATAAGCCCTACGGAATAACATAGCATGCTTGGAACTGGATCAATTGAACTCGGCGCAAATGGTCCAGAACCATCTAGCTGTTGAAGTCAAGAACGTACTTTGGGAATCTGATAACCACATGGTAGGCATTTTGAATATCCTCCGAACCCGGGATTAGCAATGCGTAAGTATTTGGAGATTTCTACCAAACACACTCGTAGTACAACAGTTGGTAGTAGAAGTAAAGTTGTCCTTAATGATCTTTTGTTGGAGTTCATTGAAAGAACGCGGCTTAGACGCGTCCGTGCTCATGACATGAGTTAGCGTCATATGCAGACCACAAAAGCTTAAATATAAATTTTACTCGGATTTCTCGAGTCTCATCTTGTCTGACACTCTTCACAAAAGCTATTCCTTGAATTGAAGATATTGAAACAACCACAATCGATATGTCAATTAGTAATATTGACTAAAACATGAGATGTGACAATATCCAACCAACAAGATTTGGAAGGAAATGCAAGGGAAATGTACTCTTTCAGGTCTCTCTTCACCTGCCTCGAAGTATCAATCCTATTGCACACTTGCATGAGGTAAAGTATTATGATTGCCACGACGAACCAGGACAATTTGTCCTGGTGACTGAGTTTCATTCTCTATATGTTCTCGGTACCACGTCATCTCTACTCGAGTAGGCAGATAATATTCATGATCGCGATTAAGCCGGAGCGTATTCCTGAACCAATCATTGAAAGATGATTGGTGGGTAGAATGAGCTTGACTTTGTCGGTCAGACATATCCTCGTACTGATTTCAACCATTCCTGAACCTTTCTTCTTCGACAGCCTTAAAGGCCGATTCTATCCATCTCAATCGTACAAATCTTCCACCCAGAAGTCTGTTCTTGCCCCTTGATCCTTCTGCCAGTATACAAACACCAATATAGTCAAGTAACCATCCTGAACCTTTGCGCATTGCGCATCGCTTGCCAATCTCCGGAGATGGTGAACTGTGTATTGAGCAAAGCCTAGGCCGAGCATTACACCTTTTCCAAATGCTCCAACGTAGTGCACTATCATCGCCTTTCACTTCAAGATAGTATGAGCTCCCCGTACTTCCAAATACTGCTCTGCAACCCCCTGACCTAAAGATCTAACAACCCCAAACACCTCTTTGTTGTGATATCGTAGCCTCGTCTTTGGATCTGTATATGGAGCTGGTAATCCTGTGATATCGCAATAATGTTTTGAGTGTGCTAGAGACGGTGCTGATTCAATATTCATGTACGTTGCAGTAGGTGCATTAGAAAAGCCGTTCGTCCTCATGTTTCGTTCCAATACCAACTTCGATAAGTTCTTGGAAGCTTGCGCGAGATTTGGTTGAAGTGTAGGAGCGCTCGTAGGGGCAGGTGTCATATCGCCATCAGTTGAGGTTGCATTATCTTCAGAAAAGGGTGTTGCAGAACCGCTGTTATCTTGTGTTGGCATAAGTGACGCTTCCTTTCGAACGGCGTCGCCGAGAATGGTCTTAATATTCTTGTTGCGACGCTGATTAGGTCTCCAGTGGGTATTTCGAAAGGGTTTTCTTATTGAGTGAACATCAAGCTTTTCGATGAGTGCTTGATGAGCTTCAGCTTCTGGAGTTGCTGGCGCCATGATTGATGACGATTGGTGGTTGATTTATGATTGTTTGATTGAAGTTGAATTGAATTGCTCTGCCTTCCTTCCGCCTTGTTGATTGAGCTTCGAGCTTCACAACAGCCGACCAATCAGGCAACGCATGAAACTTGTGTCAATATTTACTATAAACACCAACAAAACAGTGACTTTGTCAAACATCACATTTCATAACCAAACCACATTGACGGTAGAGACTATGGTAAGGTTAAATATGACAAGCTTCTATCGTATACAGGATAATGAACATTATGTAGGAAAATCCTCACGAGCACCAGCAAAACTTGCTTCTCTCACGAATCATCACCAACGTAGTAAGCATTTCAAGCACACCCACCAAGATATCACACTAATTCAACTGCTAGGAGAAACTCAATGAAGCCATCATGCTTTTGAACAAGAATCTCCAGGTATGAGAGGGCTAGCAATCGCCGGTAAATGGTTACATGTAGCTGAACCAGAATTAGGAGATCAATAACGCAAACACAAATGTTGTTTTGGTTGCAGACATGTTCAAGAACTATCAATCCAATGTTCTCTTTCATTTAGAAGGTACTTAATTTTAACTGCCACAAGACTATTGCTAATTCGTTGAAAGCTACCGACAGTCTCAAAGAGCCATCATGATAAAACTGAAGAGAGTCTTCGTGGGCAAGGAGCTGGCGTTTTATGGCGGAGGCTGATAGTTAGAATGATTCTCGATTAATGACTTACAAAGATAATTTCCACGACTTTTATTAAAATTAAAAATATCCTACAATATCTGGTGCTGTAGATTGTAGATATAGATAGAGTAAGGTTAATCGTGATCTCCACATGTAACTGATACATGCATCTCAGCCTTGCCACAAAAATCTAGCCTTGTGAAGCGACAACATCATAAAGAGGAATAATTACCACTAAAGAGCTTGTCGTTAATACGTGTACTATTTAATCGATTCTTTCGGTCGCAAGGGTATACAAACAATGATTTAGACCGCAACCAAAACCAACCACTACCTCTCTAGGAAGATGTCGCCCTCTGCCATGGACCTCGATGCGCCTCCATCAGAGCAACAAAACTCAATACCTCCTCCTACTCTATATCCTGCGAAAGATCTTCACTTTGACAAATACGTCGAGCCTCAGCCAGATGGATATCGAACAGCCAAATCTCGGGGATCTGGTCAAGCTGCGATAGTAATTGACAATGGTAATTCTGTGCTGGGCATCATGACTTGCATATCTCAAAGATACTAATACTTTTTGCTACAGGCTCATCGGTGACTCGAGCTGGCTGGTCCTTCGAGGACTCACCATGTCTCAATATCTTACCTCTTTTCTCTAAATATAGAGACAGGAAGATGGGCAAAACGTATTCGTTTGTTGGCGCCGATGTCTATGCAGATACTACAGCTAAGGGCCACATGAGAAATGCCTTTGAGGCGGGAAGCGGGATTGTTAGCAATTGGGATGTTATGGAGCAAGTACTGGATTGTATCTTTCTTAAATTGGGCGTCGATTCAGAAGGAAGTGTGGACATGCCTATTGTTATGACGGAAGCTGTCGCAAACTTACCGTATTCAAGGAAATGTATGGACTTCCCATTAGACCTACGAATTCTGCTAACGAAACGGGATAGCTATGACCGAAATTATATTTGAATGTTATGGAGCACCATCTGTGGCTTACGGAATCGATTCTTTATTTTCTTACGACTACAATGGGGGCAAGACAGGACTTGTTGTATCTTCTTCCCACAGCTCTACGCATCTGATTCCGGTTTACAATTCGAAAGCCATGCTTACCCAGGCAACAAGATTGAATTGGGGTGCATCACAAAGCGCCGACTACCTTTTAAAGCTCATCAAACTAAAGTATCCTAGCTTTCCAGGAAAGCTGGCTGCCACTCAAACGGAATACATGGTACAAGATCATTGTTACTTATCCCGAGATTATGATGAGGAAGTGAGAAAGTATCTCGATTGGACAGGGTTGGAAGACAGAGACCGTGTCATACAATATCCGTATACAGAAGTCATCGAGGTACAAAAAAGTGAAGAAGAGTTAGCCAAGATTGCAGAGAAGAGAAAGGAGAGTGGTCGAAGATTACAAGAACAAGCCGCCAAAATGCGACTTGAGAGATTAGTTCGCAAAGAACAAGAACTTGAGTACTATAGACATCTACAAGGCAAGTTAGTAGATCAAACAAAAAAGGAAATCAAAAGATTACTTGACGCGGAAGAGTTGAAAGACGAAGCTGCTCTCGAAAAAACCATTAAGGAACTTGACAAAAGCATTCGTAAGGCTCGAACCAAGGATGTCGGTGGACCGGAAATCGAGGAAGAAGTCGAAGAACCGGATTACTCTATGCTTGAAATTCCAGATGAGCAACTAGACGAAGCAGGCCTCAAACAAAAGCGTCATCAACGTCTCATGAAATCCAATAACGAAGCCCGCGCTCGTGCCAAGGCAGAAAAGTTGGCAGAAAAAGCTCGTATCGCGGAAGAACAACGCATAGATGATGAAAAGCGAGAAAATGATCTCGAAGGCTGGCTTCAAGAGCGTCGAGAAGCTCGAGCTACTATGCTCCAAAAGATAAAAGACAGAGAACGTCTCAAAGCAGACCTAGGAAACAGAAAAAGTCTCGCGAGTCAAATCCGCATGAAGAGCATCGCAAACCTGGCATCCGATAATCCGACTAAAAAGCGTCGTCGCGGAGGCGATGACGATAACTTCGGTCAGAATGATGATGATTGGGGAGTCTATCGTACCATCCAAACTGGAGACGGCGGTAGTGATGACGAGGAAGAAGAAGATCCTAGCGTTCTTCTCAAAACCCTCGAAGCGGATCTCCTCAAATACGATCCCGAATTCACAGATCAACATACCTTCGACGCGCAAACCGATTGGACCAAATCCCTCATCCATGCTTTTCTCCGCGGACCACGTCCCTTCAATCCGGCCAGCACGGCGGAAGCCCACCAACTCCATCTCAACGTCGAGCGGATCCGCGTCCCGGAAGTTATTTTCAACCCCAGCATAGCCGGGCTGGATCAAGCTGGAATTGTGGAAATCGCAGCCGATATATTAAACCAGCGTATTTCAGGAGCGGGCATAAATCAGAAGGATTTCCTGAAAGATATCTTTTTAACGGGAGGAAACACGATGTGGCAAAACTTCGATGAGAGATTGAGAGAGGGGTTGAGAGCAAATTTGGAGGCGGGCACAGAAGTCAAGATTCGTAGGGCGAAGGATCAATTATTGGATGCGTGGAAAGGGGCTGCGAAATGGAGTTGTGGAGAGAGGTGGAAGGAAGCGAGGGTTACGAGGGAGGAGTATCAGGAGAAGGGTGGGGAGTATCTTAAGGTATGTTTGTTTTTTGTTTTGTCTTTTTCTCTTCCTTTCCCTTCATCTTCCATTGTATCATCACCCCATCAAATCTCCACACCCAACCTCCGAATCCGAATCCGAATCCGAATCTGGATATGCATG